AAAAAAGGAAAAAAAGGAAAGAAAGAAAGAAAGAAGGAAATAATAATAATAATAATAATAATGATGGAAAAAAAAAGCAGAAAGAAAATTTTTTTTTTTTTTTTCAATTTTACCGTAAATAAGAAATTGTTTTTTTTTTTTTTTTTTTTTTTTTTACCAATAAACAACAAATGTATTTTTTCATGAGTGAAATAAATTCAACGAAAGATTTTTCTTTCCAAGAATTTCCTTAAGGAAATGAAAAAAGGTGAAAAAGTAATTGAAGACTATTGACTCTTCCTTTTTATTTTTCCTTTGATTTCCCGTTTTCTTTTTTTTTTTTTTTATATTTTTTATTTATTCATTTTTATTTTTTATAAATTTAATAATGTTTTTCTCTCTCTCTCTCTCTCTCTTTCTCTTCCTTTCTTTTCCTTCGTTTTTTTTTAAATACGAAGTAACCCAATAACGGCGTTTCAATTATTAATAGTAAAAAAAAAAAAAAATTTGTTGTCATTATTATTATTATTATTATTTTATCGTGCAAAATAAAAAAAATTTTTTTTGACCCTCCCCCCCTTCGTTCCTTTGTCGCTTTTACTTTTTTTCCCTCCCCTCCCTTAAAATAAAAATTTTTTTATCGGATTCATCATCGAAAAAGGTGAAAAATTTTAAAAGAAAACGTCATCGTTGACGTCATCATCGCGACATTTTCAATTGAGTTTTTTTTTCCCCTCCCCCAAAAGGTCAAGTCAATATTGTAAATACGATTTAAACAATTTACAAAAGTTGAAACAAAAAAACAAAAAATGTATATCCGCATTAAGAAAATATTTCACGTCGACGTAATAAATAAAATTATCAAAATTACTAAAAATTTTTAATTAATCAAAGCTTTTAATATTAATAATAATAATAGCTTTTATTCAATTGAATAATGTTATGCAGATGTAAAATATTATAAATATTTTTTCACGCCCCCACCACCACCACCCCACTTTTCGCCGCCAACCCCCCATCTCCAACGTTTCGTCAATAATTTTCTAAATAATGATAATAAAAAAAAAAAAATTTTAATTTATTACAATATGCATGTGCAGTTAATATCGTATTATTACATCCGCTTCCCATACATATCATTATTATTATTATTATTATTATTATTATTATTAATATAAATTTTTTTTTAAATAAATAAATAAAATACGCGCGTATCGGCGGTCGTCTCACGATTTGTATTCAAAATGGCGTCGCCGTCGTCGTCGTCGTTTTACCTTTTTAATCTCCGTTTAAATTTTATTTTATTAAATATTTACATTGTAATAATAATAATAATAATAATAATAATAATAATAATAATAATAATAATAATAAATGGATTAATATATACATTTATTTATTTATTTATTTATATTTAAAATTTTAAATAAATAAATAAATAAAACGACGAATTCCTCTCAGTTGATGATAAACAAAAAAAAAAAAAATTATTTTATACCAAAAACATTTTCGTCATCAATAATTAATAAAATATTTACATGTAGTCGGTGTAAAATTGGTAAACAAACAACAACAACAAACGAACAAACAACTACAGCTACAACCGTTTTAATATAATTCAAAAAAAATTTTTTTTTTTTATTTCGACGACGTGTATTATGCGTGGAATTATTATGGTCGTGACTCTTTTTTTATTTTTATTTTTACAAATTCAAACAAACACAAACACAAGCACAAACACAATACAATTCAAATGACTTTTATTTTGTTTGTTAATTTTTCCCTAGTTTTTCCGAGGGAACCGACTCTTTCTCTCTCTCTCTCTCTCTTTTTTTTTACGAGTGTAATAAAGTTTTTGTTTTTGTCTTGGTTAGCAAACCGAGTACCCCCATGTATTTAAATGCTAATCTCTTTTTTTTCCTTTTTTTATTCCAATCCCTCCCTGT